TTCTCTTTTCTGAAGAATGAGTTTTGAACTGTATCTATTTGCTCCTGAACAAAACAAAAATAAAATAAATGCAATGAATTATTTATTATTATTATTATTATTATTATTATTATTATTATTATTATTATTATTTTTATTTTTTGTTGTTGTTTCACAGCAGTGAACATATCTTATGGATCAAATCAAATGTTCATGTGATGCTTGAGCTGATAGATGCTAGAATCTATAGCACACTTAGATAATTACTCAATGTGTCCTTAGCTGTAACATGAAATGCACCTAATAATGTAGTTTTGTTTGATAGGGAAGTTCAATTTGGGAAAGCTGTATGAAAAGATTGGATTCAATAAGGAGATCATATCAAGGGGAAAGTTTGCTGAGCTCACTGCGGCAGAGCAGCGATCTTTCAGGTGAAAGTTCTTGTCTTGCATGCTTGGGCAAGGTTTCCTAAAATGAACTACGTCTACAGATCACTAGGAAGTAGGAACTAGCATGTACTTTGTGCTCTACATCATGCTACAAAAGTACTCGCTAGAATAATGACAGATTTTATTTTACATCTGATATGATCATTTACAACTTTACAAGATATATGTTTTGCATATAAGTGCTTGCAGATAATTCCATGATAAAATACATTATTTATACTTCGGGGCATATTATCTGATGAATGACAAGGTTTTGTAAAAATTCCCGAAAAAAAAAAAAAAAACACTCTTGGCAATAGAAGTCAATAACTTTGACAATTAATCTTCAGATTGTTGGGTTCTCAAAAATTCAAAAGTGAATTTTTGCTATGTTAAGGGTAAATTAATTTTAGATCTTCCCTCATTTAGCATCAAAGAGCAAACTTTCACTGATAGCTACAATCTTAGTAACATTTGATTTGTTTCTCATTCTAAATGCAAATTTGTTATAGGCCGGAAGAAGCAGAGCTTTTTGCAAAGTCTGCCCAGCATGCTTATACACAATTTCGAGATAAAGCAGCCTATTCAAGATCAATGCCTGTAATTTTTCTATTACTAACCTTTTTATTTATTTTATTTTTATTTTAACATGAATTATTTGAATTTTACACTATCAATACAGATTATTGATTGATTTATTTCATTTATGTATAGGTAGATAAGATGGAAGAAAATGCACAAGGAAGAGTCTGGACCGGAAGTGATGCTGCTTCTCGAGGACTTTGTTGATGCTTTAGGTGGAATGGGCCGTGCAGTTGCCATAGCAAAGCAAAAGGCTAACATTCCCCAAGAGCAACCGGTATTTCCTTTCTATTTTTATGGCTCATACCTCTCTAATGTTTGGTGTTAATTTTACTCCCAACTCTTTCTTTCTATTGTGCTGTGGCACTTTTCTGCCTTTTGCATTCAAAATTTCTTTCATAGTTCTTAATTATTGCCATCTCTGTTAATTCTCACTCGTGTGATAGGTATGCTTTGTTGATGCCTTGTTGAGATAATGCCCATGTATTATTGAATAACACTGCATTTATTGAAATACCACATCTTTATGGACCATGGCTACAATAGTACAATGTCTTGAATTGCAATAGTAGGTGGCTAGTGCCCAAGTTAAATGTCACTCAAATTTGAGGAAGACATTTTTGTCAAAGATGTGGCCGTACTCTAGGGAAGTAAGGCTTGTAAGCTTGGCAGACCACCAGTCCTATTTGTAGGTCAACCACAACCAAATGATAATGTGCTTCCAAATACCAATTACTCCGTCTCTAAAAGTTCTTCATGATGACACTTTTTGTGAACTCTTTATTCTGTGCCCGTCTCATTGTTTATGCTGATAATGATGCAGGTGACACTGGTTGAAGTGTCAAGACCATCCCCTTCGTTGCCAGAGATTTTGAGTGGCATAGGGGTACTATTGTTGGGGTGGACAGAACTCTAAAAATACTACTTGAAGAGTTGACATCTATGGAGGGAATCCAGGCAAGAATGGATGGGATCATCTTTGAGAAACTGGGCGAAGCATCGAATGCAAATCCTATCATAAATATACTGAAGGACTATTTAGGCTCTCTTTGAAGGTAAAGACCTCATATTAAAACTCAATCCCGACTGAGCTCTAGGATCAGCCATCTCTTCTTTAGACCAAAGTGTTACATGAAATCATTTACATTAAAAAATTAAAAGAAAAAAAAGAAAGTGTAAAGCTACCTGCCATAACAATCCAATTATAGATACACCACAGCTTCTGAAAATTGCACTTGTGATAGAAATTTTTACTGGAACTTGCTTGTATTGTATTATAGCAAGAGGGTAATACGATATTTTTCACTGTGTTGCATTCTTTTACCGCGATTGTCATCTGACTTGTACTGCTGTGTTCATTAATCATATTGTACTTCTATCTGTTTATGGAGCATGTGTATGTTATGGGAAAAATTAGAACCCTAAGACCATGTAAATCATACGATTGCCGATTGGATCTAAGTTGTATCTCACATGAATAGCTTCTTTATTCTCTTAAGGTTTACATTTGCAATTCTCGTAAATTTACATTGATTCCTATTCAAGCATATATACAGTTAAAAACTTTAAATTATCATAAAATTATAGATGTGACTGTCTTCAAGAGTTCATATTTATCTACATGTATATAAACATATAATAGTAGTAATTTTTTTAATTATGTATTTTAAAAATAAAATGTTTATACTTATAGGTAGGTAGATAGATAGTCTTTCTTTGAATGGTATATCCTTGAATGTTTCCAATACATCAAAATTCAAAAGCATTATACTCCGTTGCATATAAGGCTGACGTTCTACTGTGTCTAAGAGCAACTCCCAACTCTAATAGCGAGCTAATTGTCAAATTCTTGCCGTTTTCTATATAAGCTTTTAAAGTTTTTAGATAATTATCTTTCTAGTTAGATTGATCCTCAATGGTAATATTCAAGTACGAGTACAAAATAAAACTGAGACGGAGTACGCAGAAGGGAAAAATAAACAAACACCTTTCATTATACACCCGGAATCAATGTATAATAAACTTCAGTCCTCAAAATTGACAATCTTGTACTGTTCTGAATTCATCAGTCCAAATCTTCCCTTGGCTTCGTTTGTGCAATACTAAGTTTTCCACATAAACTTCAGAAGATTTACTGTTATGATCAGTATAATTTTCCAAATGTTGTATCTGATGAGTTTCTAAAATTATATGAATACACTTTACCCTTTTTAAGTACCAAAAATGTATTCTTCTCAGCATTGAAAATCTCCATAAAAAAAACTTCTTGTAAGAAACTGATCAGCCTCTAAATTTGTATCTCCGGTATACCACAATCGCCATGATCTATCTCCGCCATCCTTGACCAAAACCCATATGCAGATTCGCATTGAACATACACTAAAAAGCTGCAATTGACTCACCGAGGGTGAACAGAAATTTAAGGCTAATCTTTTTGTTTAAGAGCATCAGGGAAATCCGTAATGCTAAATTCCTCGGAATCAAAATCGAACGATACAAGATGAATCCTTGATACGGGTGGTTTAGAATAATCCTGATCAAATCCTAACCAGTGGGTAGCACTCTTGGAATAATAAGTACACCATATCTTCGAATGTGAGCTTCATCAAATAACCCATCTTTGATCCTCCAAAGGCGATCATTTAATGAATAAACTGCAATCGAAACCTCGGAATTCCATCGACACCCAAAAGCAACTATCTTATGATCATTAGTAGACGAAGCAAAACCGGGGTAATAAAGTATGGTATATCCCATCGAAATAAAAGGACAAGGTGGAATTACCAACGATTTTCGAATACAAGGATTGTAAAATACGAACTCATCTTCAGTTTCTTGTAACAAAATCAGTCCAAAACAATTGTTGTATGAATTGCAATGATCCTTTTGAGTGCTGAAAACTTTATCAATTTTTCTTGAATGCGTCGATACTATAAAGGGTAAATTCAGTCTCCTTTTTTGGCTATCAAAGACTTGCGTTTCTTGTTGTAAATGTGAAGATGAGTAACAATGAAATCCGAGGAATCAATCAATGAACACCAGCTTTTACAAACACATCTGAATCTCATTAGGCTTTTCGCCGGCAGCCTTGCTAAGATCTCCGTCCACAAATCCATCGCTAAATCCACTAATGCTTCCGCCATTGATTAAGAATTTGAAGGTTGATAAATTGAATCAAAGGGTTTTGTGTTGTGTACAAGTGTATAACCTACAGTTAATATACAGTGTACCAATATATAGAGAGAGCTTTATGTTAAACTAACACGTTCTGAAACCCTAATTATAGTAGTATTAGGTTTCTTGTTTAGAGTTATACTCTTATATCAAAATTACTATGTTATATCAAAATTATACCTATACTCTTATATTCTTATTACTTGAAGAAAAAACAGGTCAATCATGATAGTTATATACTCCCTCCGTTTTTAAATTCTTACTCAATTTCTTCATGCGCGGAGTAATTAGGAGAAATTAGAGTAAGTAATAAAATATTGAAGTAGTGGGTTAGGTGGAAGAATTAAAAAATTATAAAAATCTAAAGTAGTGAAGAAAATTAGAGGAGAGAGAATATGAAATTAATAAAATATGATTTATATTGAATTCACTAGGTCAGAGAAATCAATTAAATATTGTAATTTTTTTTTTCTTGTCAAAAAAAAAAATAAGGAAATGGAGCAAGTATTTAAAAACGGCGGAAAGAGGAAAGTGGAGCAAGTATTTAAAAACGGAGGGAGTAATATTTCAATCGATAACTACAAAATTTTCATTATTTATTGGAATCAACACATTCAACTTGTCATATAGCTCGCCTTTCAAAGAAATTTTTTTTTTGCCAAATAGCTCATACAGAGTACTTAGTTATTTATGAGAGAAAAAAAAAATTAGACACTGAACTGAATTTAAGTTGAACCGAACAAGTTCTGTCTCGCAAGAACGGAATTATCCTATACCAAATATTGAAATACTCAGTATAAATATAACTTTAAAAGCAGGCAAAGCATATGTTAAAAATGGCCTTATCATTCTCATCATCACCATTTTCCTTAAACTTAGACACCTTCAACCACACCTAAAAAAATTACAATCTTAGTAATAAACCAGTTTCTCGTTATATATATATATATATAAAAATAAAAATAAAATAAAAAAAAAAAAGAAAGAAAAGAAAAAGAGGTTACATATCTTTAAACACGGGTTCCTGAGCTTGAGTAACATAGGCTACATGGTCTTACTTAGAACGTAACATCTTACGCAAATTAAAATAGAATTTTTTTACAAATAGATTAATCCAAAATCCAAATTGTTTCATTACCAAAAGAATATGTAAACAACATTTTTATGATCGAAATCTAGTCACAGAGCAAAGTATCAAATGACTATACATGTAACAAGCTAGAATTTGTCAAAAAAAAAAAAAAAAAAAAAAAAAAAAAAAAAAAAAAAAGAAGAAGGTAGTAACAGAAATTAAAGCTACAACCTACAAAGAATCATATGAACTAGTTCTTTTAGTTTCCAACATTCCACGAAACATCAACGCCGATGATATAAACATGACTAGGATGCAATGCTCCAATTCTTCTTGTATCCTTCACAATAGGCTTAGGAATCGATCCACCACCATCTACGATCTTTTTCTCCATCTACAAAATAAACACCACATTAATTAAGCTCGTAGTTGTTACATCGTCCCAACCAATTTTATATAAGCACACGTAATATTAAACATAATTAATCGAAAGAACCCTTCATAGATATAACTGTTCTCTCATATATATGATCACTTGATTTACATAATAAACTCATACATGTAACGATTTTTTTTCGAACATCCATCAATAAATTATGCAACTACCCATAATAATAATCATTGAATAATTTTTTTTTTTTGATGCAATAATAATCATTGAATAATGACTTGATCACAAAATCAACATACAAATTTAACTAAACTTGGAAATTATTGAATAATTGTGCTCACCTCCATTATGGGTTCCAATCTGCTCTTCAGTGAGTTGAATTCATTCTTTGCTTTATTCATGCTTTCTAAACACCTATTATAATAAAATTGTGTAAATTTTCAACAACTTTCATCAAATCTTCATAATATTTTGATACAACGAATTACATTACATAATATACAAAGCATACTTTTCCATATTCCTCTCCTTATAATAATCTCGTACTTTTTTTAATGCACCACGTAGAGAAATACAGCCTACTGCACCAACACTGCATAATTTGAACCACAAAATCTAAGCCATAATAAATTAGAATAACAAGAATATTAATCACTAGTAATTTCTTTATTTATAAAATTATAATCACTTATTTGTTAATTCTATATATATATATTTACGATAGATCAAATACAATATCAACTCTATCAAATTGAATTTTATATTTTTATTTTTTTAAATGAGAGTGAGTAAGACTAATTAATCACCTGGAACTATCAAGTGTAGTATTAATAAACCTCATAGTTCTTGCAATTTCCGGGTCAATATGAAAATCAAAATTCATATTGTCATTTAGCTCTTGTCTGCAAAAATTCAATGCAGAAGAATAAATTATTAGTAAGAAATAATATTTAGTAATGAAAGAAGAGATAATTATGTAACAAAATTAATGAGAGAAACATTACACAAATTCAGCCAAATTATCGAGTCGTCTCGTAACATCTCTTAGTGCAACATTCAGATTATGAGCTTCATATTTTGGATTGATTTCCGTTATCAGAATATACTGTTTTCCATTGCATACAAACATATATAACACAAGATTATAAAGCTTAATTAGAGAGAAAAATCTTAATTAGAGAAAGAAAAAATTAGAGTTATTAATTAATACCTCATCCATCAAGGTGCTAGTGTAATCAACATATTCAAAT